GTCAGCTAACATGTATTTAAACTTGTTTACAGTACTATAAGTTCTAGACTTCAAACCCAGAGGTCTGCCTTAGTTTTGAACACTGATGGAGGTGTGATAAATAATAACACTTCGGTCACTCGCGGTCATAAACCATGGGGCTAAACTTTGTTTAGCTCAATGCATGGACTGACTGACAGTTTTGAGACACAGCCAAGGTACAGGAAGTCGGAGTCGTAGCAATTATTCGAAACAGAAGAACAATATACACTGAAGAAAGAAAGGTTTGTTAAAAATATTCATGGCTGCGAAAGCGACCTTTGAAACAGTGTCACAAAATTTAAAATAAATTATTGAAATGTTCTATCGTATCAATTTTAGGTCCAATGACAATGTTGTGAAGTGAACTGCAGCTCCGCCCCCGAAGTGAAAAGACTGTTCCTGTCGTCAAAATGAGAGTTTGGTCTACTACAATTGTCAGACACAGTCTCGGTTATATTATAATTTTACCGAATATCATTGTATTGCAAAGTATACGGAATAACAGTAATAATCGACAATCGAATCAAAAACAGTTTGCAAAACCTACCATTTTTAGCTCGTCGACCTTTCTTACCTCGTTCTCTATACTTGTTACGAATTATAATAATAAATATATATGAACAAAATAAAAAGACATAGCAACAATTTGAATACATTTATAAGGAAATTTTCAATAAGTTCTATTTTGTTGATGAATTGAATCATACTTTATTATCGAAAAGAATATTTACATACTTACACTTACTTGAACGAGGGTGACCCTCAGCACATAATTTATTCAAAATGGCAGCGCCCGTGTGAACACGGTGCTTAGAAGGGTTTTAGTTGTATGTGACTTTATATTCGAGTTTGTTCTTCAGATCGCGCCGCAGAGTTGTCAAGTACCGAAGGGCTATAAAAGCTGGTACAAAATGGCTGGAATAAATGTACTTTTTGGGGCGATGAGGTTGAATGCACGGCATGTCCTTCAATCAGCGCCGTTGGTTATTTCACAACAACCGAGGAGGGTAAGTAAAGCAGTCATGTAGCTGTAACACCGTAGCTCTTGAGTTCGTTCCTGTCGTTGACAGGGTTATTTCGTCCGTCGCGTGTGATCGCTTTCACCTCATATTATCACACGAGTGTGTGACGGAGGACGAAACATTGTATGGAGCTATATTTTGTATCTAACTACGATAAAACAAATATTTCAATGCGGTTCCCCAAAACGAAATAGCTATAAAACACCCCCCCCCCCCGTTCGATCGGCACATGGAGGTAAAAAGAGATCGACAGTACCTCCCGACGGTCCTACTATTTACTGCCCGGGAATGCCCGGGACGAAATTGGACTGTCCGGGATAGATATTTAACTTTTTTCGACTAAAAATCTGCAAAATTTCCTCAATGTTTGCGTCTTTTTCTGCGTTTGTATGGCCATTACATCCAGGGGATTTCACGTTAACACCTCCATTTCGCTATTTTTTTTTTTATTTAATTTTAAATTTAAAAAGAAATAAATCGCCCAGACTGTGCCAGTCTATTTTTGACGCAATGTTACACAATATGTCTGGCAACGTACACCACCTCGCGGTAATAATAATAATACCTACCTGTGTCGGAATTGCTAAATGTCTTCCAAAAGCCAAATACAGACTTTAAGTGATACCAGGAGGTGTTTTATTGCGCTCTTTACCAAAGAGCAACAGAACAGCGCATGGTTCTAATCGTGATCAGCGTGCTCAACTTGGTGTAAAAATTACTCAAGACAAATATATCAAAGAAGCTTTGTTGTCTCGTATTGCGTAAACAAACAAATTGCTGACAGTCTGGAATGGCACCAATTTTATTTAAACTTTTAGGGTAATTTGTAGCAAGATGATGTTTTATCATGAATGAGCTGTCTCGCATTATAAAATTTGTGAAACAACAAGCAAACAAACAAAATTGTGCTGCACATTGACTCTTGGGGTCCCTTTATTTAGATTCCTTCCATTCTCTTCTATGCATATATAATTGGCCACTCTCACTGAACTCTTGTTATTAGAAATACTGCAATTATTTTTAACACAACGTCCACTGATGCCGTTTCTTTCCATTCATTTTGGTTAACATTGGAGGCTTATTAATAAAGAGTGGTGATTATTGCGTTGCATTCAGTTCGATATGGGACTCGTATCGACGTACTCAGCGCGTGTAAAATACTTTGCGCATGTGGTGTGTGTGACAAGCACCCTTTACCCTATTTTCTGCTTTTATACCTGTCAGACCACTGTCATTTTGAGAAGAGAAAAACAACCCGGACTCGCAAAGATTGGCAAGCCTCCAAAGCTGAAAAAAAAACACAAAGTCTACCAATTGGTGAAAGATACAAAGACAGAGAAACAACCGAATATGCAGCTTATACTTATTAAAGACACAGAAAGTGAGTGTTTACTTTATATTTAAAAGCATACTAGACAAATTGTGTGTCAAGTACATGTACATGTATGATTAAATTAAATTAACACAACTAGTTATGCATATTGGATAAGATGTTATTGCTGGTAATCATTGGTTGGGATTGGTTAAGGCTGGTTAAAATCAGTTAAGTCTGCTTAAAAATGGTTATTGCTGGTAAAAGTTGGATAAAATTGGTTAAGATTGGTTAATGCTGGTAATCATTGGTTGATATTGGTTATTGCTGTTAAACATTGGTTAATTCTGACCTTTTACAGTGTATGGCTCTAGCAGTGACATCAGTATATCTAAAAGAATATGTAAGGCACAGCAGAAAATTTATTCATTGGTACACAGTTTGGTCTGAACATAACTTGGCAATTTTGAAAGCTTAATGCTGGCTAAATGATAAGTTACTCA